TCCACTCCACTCCACTCCACTCTATTCTATTCTATTCTATTCTATTCTATTCTATTCTATTCTATTCTATTCTATTCTAAATGGAATCATGGTGGGCTCTTTCTTTCTACGGTGCAGTTAAATAGGTTATTATCTATTCCAAGCTGGTGGGCTGTAGCTTTTGTGTTCCTGGGTGGAAATTAATTCAGCCCAGGGCTGAATCCTGGGTTTCACTCAAAGCCACTTCCTGTATTAGAGTTTGATGGTTAGGCGAGCAGAAATAGTGAAACGAAATAAAATTCCTTCTATTGGAAATTTCTTCGATTGGAAAGAAAAGAGCCTCTTACTTCTCCTCTGTTAATTCTGCCGACATAAATCTTCATTCATTAAAGGAAATTGTCTTTCCCCCCCCCTCCTCTCTAACCACCCCCCTTCAAACAATATACAAGCGAGCCCAATTTTGATACTTCTTCACCCCAATTCATCATTGCCCAGAGGTTCTTTAATATAAACCGTGGTGAAAAACAGCTGGTAGCAATCTTAATGGATTTTCTGTGATCATCTCTGCTGAAAAGCCGGTTAATTTCCATCAAGCTTTTACGGCAGACTTGGGGAAAAGGTTTTGAAGTCTATTTTGCGTTGTCTCAAAAGATGCAGACAGGTTCAAGGTTCGAAAGGATTTGGACTGAGTTGGTTGTTGGGGCCTCACCCTTGACTATGCAGTTCACTGGTGAGAGTGTAAACTTTTGCACTTAAGTAAGGAAAAGAAAAACAGATGCACAGATACGTGGTAGTGTGGGAAATCAGTCCCCCACAGAAGGAAATATTAAAAGGACAGGAAAATATATTTCCTCAAAGGATCTTAAAGAGGCAGAAAAGCAGGCCCAGTTTTTCTTAATAGCCTCAAGTCTCCCTTCCCCCAAGCAGAAACCAGCTCTGTAGAAATGCAGATGTAATAATCCTTTCAGGAAAGTTGGAGACCTCCAGCTAGAAGCTTAGGAAGACAAAGACACCTAAAATCTACATACCCCACCCAAACTCTAAGACAGGACATAATAGGATCAACCCACAGTTGCCAAAGGGCACACCCAGACTCAGGTCAGAATACATGATACAGGAAATAGCCTCAAACAGGAACAGGAAACAATTCTAAACAAAAGGCTCCAGACGGTATAAAAACCCACTCCCTACATGTGCTCTATTTCTCTCTTTTCTGCCAGAGCCATCTTTCTGTCTGGCTCTCCTCTTCAATAAACTGCAACCTTCTTTCTAAAGCAGCATCCATGTTTGTTCCCAGCTCAGACTGAACCACGATGAAGACTTTTCTTTCAACAGTTGCAAGCTCGGGAGAAGGACTTGAGAGAAAGGGTTTGGGTGTCCTGGTAGGCCACAGATAAGGCATGAGCCAGCCACGTGCTTTTTCAAAAGGCAACTGGACTTCCTTTGTTTTTCCTTGAAAACGTTTCACTTCTCATCCAAGAAGCTTCATTCAGTTCTGCCTGAATGGTGGAGAATGGAAGGATTGTATTTCTTTGCAGTCATCTGGTCATTAGCATTCTCTCTGAGAGACGTTGAGGCCACTTGGACCCCACGTGAAGAGGGTTGCCTGAATACTGTAAATGGGTGTGAAACCTTCTTGGAATGGGGGTGGGGTGGGTAGGGGGGACTTCAACTCCCAGAATAGAATAGAATAAGAATAAAAAAACAGAACAGAATAGAAATAGAATGGAATGGAATGGAATGGAATAGAATAGAATAGAATAGAATAGAATAGAATAGAATAGAATAGAATAGAATAGAATAGAATAGAATAGAAATAGAGCCGAGGTGGCGCAGCACTTAGAGTGCAGTACTGCAGGCCACTTTAGCTGACTGTATTCAGCAGGTCAGCGGTTCAAATCTCACTGGCTCAAGGTTGACTCAGCCTTCCATCCTTCTGGGGTAGGTAAAATGAGGACCCAGAGTGTTGGGGGCAATGTAAATATATATATACATTGCTTGCTGGTGTACACTGCTTAGAGAGTGCTTGCACTTAAAGCGGTATATAAGTCTCATAAATAAATAAATAGAATAGAATAGAATAGAATAGAATAGAATAGAATAGAATAGAATAGAAGGGTTAGTTAGAATGGACTTTAGAGGTCTTCTAGTCCAACCCCCTGCTCAGGCAGGAAATGCTATACCATTTCAGACAAACCTGGAGGCAGGTTGTTCCACTGATTAATTGTTCTAACTGTCAGGAAATTTCTTCTTAGTTTTTAGGTGGGAGAAGGCCAGGTGCATAAGCAGTTGGCCATTTCATCTGTGCTGAAAAGCTGGTTAATTTCCATCAAACAGCAGCTTACCAGTCCAATTAATTTTTTACACTTACTTGACTGAAATGTCAGATATGCTATCTTGCAAGCGGGCAATGAGACAAGAAGAGATAAGTGCAACAAAAGCACATGGAGGAATTCTAGAGCAGGGCTTTTCAACCTTTTCACCCATTGTACCACTTTTAGGATATGGCAACATCCGAGTACCACCAGTCGCCTAGCAAGGGGTCAAAAACTTGATGACTAAAAAAAAAAAAAAGGAAAAAAGTGATAAAGTACAGGTAGTCCTCGACTTACAACAGTTCGCTTAGTGAATGTTCGAAGTTACAATGGCACTGAAAAAAGTGCCCCCCAAGCCACAACCGAGAAAGACACCTGCCTGCCCACCCGGTGGCACTCTTCCTCCTGTCCGAGGTTTTCATTGTTAGCATTTCTGTTGAGGATTGGTAGTGGGAGTGGGGTGGGGGGGTGTTTGGTTTTTATTCCCCCCCATTTGCTGGGTAGTTGCAGCAGGTTTTGGTCACTTCACATGATCCTGGGACACTGTGACCGTCATAAATATGAATCAGTTGCCAAGCATCTGAATGTAAATCACAAGACCCTGGAGAGGCTGCAACATTCCAGCTGATCGGCGCTTCTTCTGGGCTCAGCAGAAGCACCAGGATCAGTGCTGCTTTCCAGCTGATCAGCGCTTCTTCTGGGCTCAGCGGAAGTGCCAGGATAAGCGCCGAGCTCCAGCTGGAGCCTGGCGCTGATCCTGGTGCTTCCACTGAGCCCTGACAGCCCCGAAGGAAAGCGGCACTGATCCTGGTGCTTCCGCTGAGCCCTGACAGCCTTGCAGCTCCAGCCGTCTCTCGCTTAGGCTTGTGCGGTGCTGCCACCGTTTCAGCTCATTCCCCTCCCCCACTACCACTTTTCTAGGATGGTCGTGTACCACCTGCCAGGAGCCAATGTACCACAGGTGGTACCCGTACCACTGCTTGAAAAGCCCTGGACTAGATGAGACCAAAATGGGACTTTCAGAAGGACAAATTAAGCCTGTGTCTGATCACGACCCTCAATTTACAATGATTTTTTTTTTTCACAGAGAAGAATGGGGGAACTATAAGCGTTGGAGCAGTGGTTCTCAACCTGTGGGTCGGGACCCCATTTGGGGTCGAACGACCATTTCACGGGGGTCGCCAAACAACGCAGTCCGCCATTTTTTTCCCCTTTTCCTTAGCTGTGCTACTCCCTTTTATTCTATTGGCTTTTGAAAGCCAATAGAATAGACTCTCTTGAATAGAGTCTAATTCTATTGGCTTTCAAAAGCCAATAGGAATTGTCCAGGCTGTCTCTGCCCTGCTGAGCCCGCCAAAAGTCCCATTCTGCAAACGGTGCTGCACCAGTTGAGTAGTCCTCGACTTACGACCAGTTGGGTGTCGTGGCATTAAAAAGGTTGAGAACCACTGCATTGGAGGGACTGTCAAAGATTGTCTAATCCTGTTTTGGTCATGTGTTGGGGCCACAGTTTTCAGAATTTCCAGTCTGCACAGCTTGTAGGGTAGTATTTCTCAACCTTGACAAGGTTTAACAAGGGTGGACTTCAGTTCCAATTCCTTCCTCAGCCAGCAAGGCGGCTGTTAAGCAAGTCATGCCAATTTTCTGATTTCCCCCCCACAGTTGTTAAGTGAATCACTGGGGTCGTTAAGTGAATCATATGGTGGTTAAGCAAATAGCACGGTTGTTATGCAAAGCCCCTAAAAACCTGGCTATGTTCCCAAACTTGGGATGCTGAATCTTTTCATGGGACCCATTCGCTAGCTTTACTGCTAAGCGGCTAAGTATCTTGGCTGCTATCTAGGCTTAGTAAGGATGTTTTTTCTTATTTTAAAATAGTGTTTTAGTGTTTCAGTTGTAACATGTCTTTCAACTGCTAAGCCGCTGTAGAAATTGAATCAATCAATCAATAAAATCCAACTTCTCCCATTGACTTTGCTTGTCAGAAGCCAGCTGGAAAAGTCATAAAGGGCAATCACTTGATCCCAGGATCCTGCAACTATCATAAATTTGTGCCCGTTGCCTAAGTGCCTGAATTTTGATCATCATCATCATTGAGTTGCAGGGGACCTTGGAGGTCTTCTAGTCCAACCCCCTGCTCAAGCAGGAGAGCCTATACCAGGGGTGGGCAACTTTGGCTCTTTTATGACTCGTGGACTTCCAACTCCCAGAATTCCTGAGTCAACATGGCTCCCTTTCCCCTCAACATGGCTAGCTCAGGAATTCTGGGAGTTGAAAGTCCACGAGTCGTAAAAGAGCCAAGGTTGTCTACCCCTGTCCTATACCATTTCAGACAAACAGTTGTCCAGTCTCTTATTAAAAACCTGAAGGCAGCACAAGTGACAGAGCACCCACAACTTCGGGAGGCAAACTGTTGCATTGATTAATTGTTCTCACTGTCAAGAAATTTCTCCTTAATTCTCAGTTGCTTCTCTCCTTGTTTAATTTCCATCCGTTGCTTCTTGTCCTGCCCTCAAGTGCTATGGAGAATAACTTGACTCCCTCTTCTTTGTAGCAGCCCCTCAAATATTGGAACACAGCTATCATGTCGCCCCTCGTCCTTCTCTTCATTAAACTGGACATACCCTATTCCAGCAACCGTTCTTTATATGTTTTAGCCTCCAGTCCTCTGATCATCTTTGTTGCTCTTCTCTGCCCTCTTTCTAGAGTCTCAACATCTTTTTTACATCATGGCGACCAAAACTGGCACTGCAACTGTGGGGATGCTTCATATGGCGGAGGGGCACGCTGCAATGGTCATAAGCGCGAGGACCCGTTCATAAGTTACTTTCTTTGATGCCATCACTAAATGAATGGTGGTAAGTAGAGGACTACCTGTGTTGGAGAAATCTTGAGCCATGGGGGGGGGGTGCAGTGGGATGTGTAGGATAGCAACTTCACTCACCTGTATCCCCTGCTCAGGTAAACAGACTAAGCCATGGAGATTACCTGTCCCTTTTTAACCTTTGTCTACCTCCCTCAGGCCATGTTGGATGCTTGAATCAAAACACCCAGGCTCCCTCTGTGCCGGTTCTGAAGAACGATGAGAAAAAAGTTTCTGACAGCTTCTTGTTCCCATGGAAACAGATAATTTACTTTCTTTGAAGTTCAACCCAATGTCTCGGGCAGGGGTCATCTCGGGCTGGCATCAAAGGCCTCGCGCTAGGAAATCCCTGTTTGATAGGAAGAACAATGCTAAATCTCAGCTCAGGCTAACATGCTCTCTCCTCTCTTTCTCCACCGATGTGCAACGGCCTTGCAACCCGCCGTTAAAAAACGACAACAAAATGCAGAAATCAAGCAGGCCACAAAGAATTTAAATTCTAGACTCGTGAAAATGAAGGACTATGGAGACAGTGCAAATGGAGCAGTCTGCAAAAGTGTTTGTGTTTGCCTGTCTGTCTGTCTGAATATTTTTGTTTGTAGAAAGATGGAAATATAGCTATAATTTCAACAAAAAATGTAATCTGCGTACTCTCCAAGCCCGAGTTTCTTAACCTTGGCATCCTTATGATGTGTGGACTTCAACTCCCGGAATTCCTCAACCAGCCATGCTGGCTGGGATTCTGGAAGCCACGTCTTAAAGTTGTCATGGTTGAGAGATACTGCTCTAGACCCAGGGGTCTCCCAAACTTGGCAACTTTAAGACTTGTGGACTTCAACTCCCAGAGTTCCTTAGCCAGCCAGTCCACAAGTTGCCAAGTTCCTCTAGACAAAGGAATATGGAGGTATGCTTGAAGAAGGAAGAAGGAAAGCATTAAAGGAGATTTAAGAGTAAATCAGTCCTGGGAATTTGGAAAAAAAAATATGTCTGTACCTGGGAGGAGATGATTGTCCTTTCAATTATGTAATGCTTGGACAAGGCCATTTCCTACCAGTGGACTGAGATAAAAGCTTAGTGTGGTTTCCTGATGCAAGGAGTTCCACATGCCTTCAGTTTGGGAAGTCAGGATTAAAAGGGGAATCTATAGGGAGATCAAAAAAAAATCAAGATGGTGGCAGTGACTGTGGAGTTAAAGGTCTATTCTATTCTATTCTATTCTATTCTATTCTATTCTATTCTATTCTATTCTATTCTATTCTATTCTATTCTATCCTGTAATTCTATTCTATTCTATTCTATTCTACTCTATCCTGTAATTCTATTCTATTCTATTCTATTCTATTCTATTCTATTCTACTCTATCCTGTAATTCTATTCTATTCTACTCTACTCTATCCTGTAATTCTATTCTATTCTATTCTATTCTACTCTATCCTGTAATTCTATTCTATTCTACTCTACTCTATCCTGTAATTCTATTCTATTCTATTCTATTCTATTCTATTCTATTCTATTCTATTCTATTCTATTCTATTCTATCCTGTAATTCTATTCTATTCTATTCTACTCTACTCTATCCTGTAATTCTATTCTATTCTATTCTATTCTATTCTATTCTATTCTATTCTATTCTATTCTATTCTATTCTATTCTACTCTATTCTACTCTATCCTGTAATTCTATTCTATTCTACTCTATCCTGTAATTCTATTCTATTCTATTCTATTCTATTCTATTCTATTCTATTCTATTCTATTCTATTCTATTCCATTCCATTCCATTCCATTCCATTCCATTCCACTCCACTCCACTCCACTCCACTCCACTCCACTCCACTCCATTCTACTCTACTCTAAACTTTAAAATAACGAACTAGCTGCCAATCTAAATACCTTCTGTAAGCAGTCTAAAAACTAGCCCTAAAAAAAAAAAAGTCCACTTGGCCAGTTGCTTCAAAGGCCTTGTGGGCGCCATCATTGCCTACGTTTAAGTGACAATAGAATAAAAATGGCTACTTGCTGACTAATATAAAGGAAAGCTTCTGCCAAAAGAAGCTTTGCACCTTCGGCTCTAGAATGCACAAATTTAAATTGATCAATAGCCGAGCTTGACATTTTATTCCTATTGCCTCATTAAAAAAAAGGCAGAATAGGACTTAATGTTTAATATCTTCTATTTATCCCTGACCGTGGGCACAAAGCCATTGTTCCGTGAGTTATTTACAGGCTGCAAAAATGGATCGCTTTTCTCTGCTTGCAGGCAGGTGTGTCGAAATTTGCCATCTTCTTCTTATATTTCATGGCGATAGTAAATTGTCTGTTTAGTTACTAAGATGGAATTTTCCACTCACCGCATCTTTCCTTCTTTTTTCTTGTATGTATAAATACATAAAATCAGAATAGACTGGAAGGGACATTGGAGGTCTTCTAGTCCAACCCCCTGCTCAAGCGGGAGGCCCTATACCATTTCAGACAAATGGCTATCCAATCTCTTCTTAAAAATCTCCACAACTGGAGCACTCACAACTTCTGGAGGCAGGTAGTTTCACTGATTGATTTAAGAAGTTTAGTTTTAGGTTGCTTCTCTCCTTGATTAGTTTCCATCGTTGCTTCTTGTCCTGCCCTCAGGCGCTTTGGAGAATAGCTTGACTCCCTCTCCTTTGGGGCAGCCCCTGAGATATCAGAAGATTTCTAATATTGCTAATATACAGATAGTCCTCGGCTTATGACCACCGTTTGGGCCAGGATGACAGCAAGACAATTGGGACTAAGAAAGGCAATTGTTAAGTGGGTTGTCCCTGGTTTTATCACCATTTTTGCTCCATTTGTTAAGTGAATTAGTGCAGTTGTTATAAGGTGTTCATCATGGTTCAGTTCAAGCTGGGAATAAACAACATGGCGACTATTTTAGAAAGAAGGTTGCAGTTTATTGAAGAGGAGAGCCAGACAGGAAGATGGCTCTGGAAGAAAAGAGAGTGAGCACATGTAGAGAGTGAGTTTTTATACCTTCTGGAGCCTTTTGTTTGGAGTTGTTCCTGTGGCATGAACTTTGACCTGAATCTGAGTGTGCCTTTCTGGTATTCTGATGGTGATGGGTTAACCCTATTATGTCCCAAAGGTCAATCCTGCTTCCCTGGTGCTGTGGCTGATGACTCTTAGATTTTTGGTGTGAGGGATTGTTGATTCTAGGGATCTTTCCTCCTTATCCCAGTTTCCTGACTCCAGTCTTTCTGACAAGATTATCACATCTGCGTTTCTGCAGACTTGGTTTCTTTTTGGGGCAGAGAGACTTGGGGGCAGGGTTGGTTTCTGCTTTTAAAATCCTTTCGGGAAATATATTCTGCCTTTTAAATATTTCCAAAAATATTTCTTTCTCGGGGGGGGGGGGGCTGACTTCCCACAAAGGGAATCAGGTTCTCGTTAAGTGAATCCAGCTTCTCCCCTTGACTTTGCTTGTGGGAAGTCAGTTGGGAAGGTTGCAGAGGGTGATCACATGACCTTGGGATGGTGCAAAAATCATAAATATATGCCCGGTGCTAAGTACGAAGAATTTTGATCATGCGACCATGGGATAGTCGTAAGCACAAGGACTAGTCATAAGTCATATTTTTCAGTGCCACTGTTACTTTGAACAGTCGCTATATGAAGGGTGCTAACTTGAGGACTAACAGAACAGGTAGCCCTCAACTTACAACAGTTCGTTTAAGCACAGGGGTCTTCAAACTTGGTCACTTTAAGACGTGTGGACTTCAACTCCCAGGGCTGGCTGAGGAATTCTGGGAGTTGAGGTCCACACATCTTAAAATGGCCAAGTTTGAAGAACCCTGGTTTAGTCACTGTTCGACGTTACAATGACATTGAAAAAAGTGACCTATGACCGTTTTTCACGCTTACGACGGTTGCAGCCTCCCCATGGTCATGCGATCAAAATTTGGATGCTTGGCCACTGAGTCATATTTACGACGGCTGCAGTGCCCCAGGTGATCCCCTTTTGTGACCTTCCAAAGTCAATGGGGAACCGTGTTATTAACCTGACAATGACAGTGTTGGGTGATTTTGGGCGACCTTTGGGCTGCTATATTTCCCAGATGTAAATCTGCAAACTGGCTTGGTGTTAAGGCGGATGAAGACTCTTGGCTAATATTTTGTTGGTTCTGGGTATGTGTGGTTGCTGGCCTCTTCCAGGGATGTGTCTTTTTAATTGCTTGTATTGTAAGGAGCCAAAGTCTCGTGGGAATCAGATGGATCCTAAATCTAATAAAGGAAGGAACAATCTGCTCACAAGAGTCCAGCCAAATAGCTTAATTGGCTGTTTCCAAAATGACCCCAAATTCCTTTCTAACGTGTGTGTGTGTGTGTGTGTGTGTGTGTGTGTGTGTGTGTGTGAGAGAGAGAGAGAGAGAGAGAGAGAGAAAGAGACAGAGAGAGAGAGAGGAAGGGAGGGAGGGAGGGAGACAAAGAGAGACAGAGAGAGAAAGGGAGAGAGAGAGGGAGAGAAAGACAGAGAAGGAGAGAAAGAGAAAGTGAGAAAGAGAGGGGGAGAGAGATAAAGAGCGAGGGAGAGAAAGATAGAGAGGGAGGGAGAGAGAAAGAGGGAGAGAGAGAGAGAGAGAGAGAGAAAGAGGGAGGGAGGGAGACAAAGAGAGACAGAGAGAAAGAGAAAAAGAAAGAAAGAGAAAGAGAAAGAGGGAGAAAGAGGGAGAGAGAGAAAGAGGGAGAGAGAGAAAGAGAGAGAGGGAGAGAAAGACAGACAAAGAAGGAGAGAAAGAGAAAGAGAAAGGGAGAGAGAGGGAGAGAAAGACAGAGACAAAGAAGGAGAGAAAGAGAAAGAGAGAAAGGGGGGAGAGAGAAAGAGCGAGGGAGAGAAAGGCAGAAAGGGAGGAAGAGAGAGAGAGAGAGAGAAAGAGACAGACAAAGAGAGGGAGAGAAAAACAGAGACAGAGAGAAAGAGAAAGAAAGAGAGAGGAGGAGAGAGAGAAAGAGAGCGAGGGAGAGA